ACGCACGCACGCACGCACGCTCACACCGCGAGCGCGCACGGCACAGATGTACAGAGAGAAGCTGACACCGGCTTACTGCAGGTTGAGCCGAAGATGCGGCCCAGACGAGACACGACCTGAGCTGCCTGTGCCTCAGTGTGCCTCATACCACCTCTTCTCCACAGTATCTGCACTGCAAGCAGTGGGCAGAGCACATGCAGTGACATCATCGGCCCAGCAGATGTCTGCATGTGGCGGTCCTGGTGGTCTTTGCCGGATTGTCCTTTGCACTCGCAAGTCTGACTGTTTTTGTTCGAATCTTCCGTTCAGTGTGAAGAGAAGTGAGGCGTCCTACGTGTTTTATGCCAATCTGGTGCCCCGTCCAACTATTTGCAATCCCGAGTCGAGCTCATCTTTCGAAAGGCCCTTCCCGGGTCTTCGGTGACCCGTGCAGTTGAATGCATGATTCTGCGCCGATGTAGTCGCAACGTGTGTGCATCTGCTCTCATGACATGTGCTCTGAGCAAATCTGCCCCGGAACTGACTTTGAGGATGTTCGTATGTTTTTTGCATCGTACACAGGGAGCTTGCAGGGCCGGAGTCGAACGGGGCAGAAATGCTGAGCGAGCTTGCGCACTGAAATGTAGACACTTCCATCAGTGCAGGCGAGACATGAGATCGAATGATCAGTCATTTCATTCCCTGCGCTACCAGGATCTGCAAGCTGCAAGCAAAACTGTGCTCGAGAAGAAGAAGAGGATATTGTAGTTGCCTGTTTTTGCTGGCGGAGCTACGGAATCCAACACATGTCGTCCAGCTTATTTCTTCACACGTGGAGCAGCCGTTTTTGCAGAAAGTAGATCTTGGCAAACTCCTGCGTGCCGGCTTCGAGTGAAAAGGTTGGCTCTTACGATCAGCCGGCGAATCAGTCGTTACTGTTTGCTATTCCGAGAGTTGTCCGAGCTTGCGTTCAAACCGGAAACCCTCGGAAACCTATCCTGCAATCGAACTGGCTCAAGACGACAGAGACGAAGCCTTTTGGTCGCACCTCATGCAGGCAGTATACTTGCCCGCCCGCACCCAATGCGGCCATAAGCTTCTGTGCACTTCAATATCGTGAGCCAATCATCCGAGGGGCATCTCGCACACATCTCGCTGGCGGTGTCGTAGTTCTGTGTGTCTTGGCAGTTTGCAGCAGAGAGAAGCGGACCGGACTGCTCAAAGATAAATCCCTGAAGCTAGCCTTGAAACCCGTGGTGTCCTTCATCTGCGGGTCCCATCGCGTGTCGTTTTGCATTTTTTCATCAGCCCAAGCCTCCCCCAAAGATTTCCAATCGGTATCTCGGAAGCCTACATAGTTTGAGATGCACCTTCGCGCACAGTGCCGGCACTGCTTGTGGATAAGTAGTCTTTAAGGGAAGGCAAAGATCTTTTTCGTACGACAATCATGGAACGCCGATTTATATATAGCAATTGATCTTTGCAAAGGGGCGTTTTGATTTTGTTGGTGCGTGGATGAGCCTTCATGGACAGCAATACCACGTCATCTAGAGCAACTGCCCGAAGTGTCCCGAATGAGCGCAAAACACGTCAAATCGTTCAGGGGGGAAGTTTCTGTTTGCATGCCCGCAAGACGATCGCCTGTGTTTGAGCATGGACAAACATCTGCCATTGTCAGTTGGTCCAATGGCACCCGATGCCAGCTACACGCACTTTCGACATGTTGATGATGTAGCTCTTCGCACGGGTGCTTTAGTTATACAGTGGCGTGAGTCGAAAAATTACAAGTGCGGCAGCTACAATTTCAGTGTGTAGATCCCTCCGGGTTGCCAAATGGGGATGCGAGAGGACTTGCACAGAGTTTGCAATATGTCTTGTTAGATCATTATCATTATACACCCAACCACTTTTTTCTCTCAGATGCCATGAGAATCAAGCCACAAGAGGCAACCGGAGAATTTCAGACATGCCTGCTGCTGCGCTCGGTTGGTTGATCTGGTTGGCCAGTCCCGTGGCACTTACGGCCGCAGAACCTGCTTGTGCCTCGGGTTCTGGAATTCATTTTTTGTAATTGGGAGATTGCTGATTGGATTTTGTTGGCTTCGGTTTGTTGGACGTTTGTCCCAGGCAGCAGCTGTCAATGTCCTCCAGATTTCGATCTCAGGCAAGACCCAGATTTTGTTGAAGGACGACATTCTCGAGCAGAGTGTTGCCAACGTCTTTGTTCAGATTTCCGGTGTCCGTCTGAAGCGGGCTTCGTTTCCTTGGATGACGCATCCTTGGTCGGAAGCAACACGTCCACGTGCTGCGCCCGGGCGCCGCCTTGTGCCGTGGACTTCGACACGTGCCGCTTGACATGCCGGGGTCCCACCCAGATCTGAAGGTTGCCACCTCCGTGGAATGCTTCCAAAGGTGTGAAGCCTTCTTAGGGTTTAGGGTTTAAGGGCTTAGGGGTTTGGGGCTTTAGGCGTTTAGGGGTTTAGGGGTAGGGCTTTAGGGCTTAAGGCTTAGGGGTAAGGGAAGAGGGTTTTAGGGTTTAGGGTTTAGGGTTCAGCAGTTCTGACCTTGATTTTTTGTTTCAAGCTATCTTCAAGAATAAACCGCAACCGCCCAGAGAATCCCCCCACATAAGGAAAAACAAATTTTACTTGTTTTGAGTATACTCATGACAGGATCAGCATCTCAATACAGCAGAATCCTCCACAACCTGCCCTAAACCCTAGAGCGCCAAACCCTAAAGCCCTAAACCCTAGAGCCCTAAACAATAGAGCCCCTAAGCAATAGATCCCTACACCGTAGAGCCCTAAACAACACAGCCCCCAAACCGTAGAGCCCTAAACCCTAAAGCCCCAAACCCTACAGCCCGAATGACCAAGAAACAGGAAAATGATCAAGAGCCACGAGTACATGATCAAGAGCTACGAATTAATGATCAAAAGCCACGAATAAATACGAAAAACTGCCCCAGGGACAAATAGTGATCAACGGCCACGAACTAATGAATGACCAGGAAACAGGAAAATGATCAAGAGCCACGAATTAATGATCAAGAGCAACGCATGACTATAAGGTTTAAATTGCTATAGGTAGAGAGGTTGAGGGTCTATAGGGTTTAGGGTTTTAGGGCCAGGGTTTAGAAATTTAGGGTTTGGGTTTAGGGTTCGCCAGCGCAGTTTTTGGACTGTGCAATGTGCCCTGGGCATCTCTCGCGATAGCAAGCTCTCTGTTTAAGGGGGACTGTTTCTAGTGTCTCAAAAATCTTGTCGTCCCCGTTTAAAAATTTGAGCTTTTGTTTCTTTGGGACAGCTTATCGGGCTTGTCATTTGGGTTGTTTGGCTGTTCGTTTGGGAGAGATGTTTTGGCTTCGTTTCAAGTTGCGTCGGCTCTTGTTTTTCTTTTTTTTTCTGAAGGGTCTTCTGGGGGAGTGTTTGACGGGATCACTTGCTCCGCTACCATTATCTCCGGGAATCACACAAACTACCCGAAAGTAGCGCAGCACTCATTCGACTCTGCAGCCAAAGTAGATTGAAAGTTCATAGAAGCGGCATTGTCCTGGCAAAGCACCAAGGCGCGGTGTTGAGCCACGAAACACACACACACACACACACACGCACACACACACAAGCACATGCAGGGGTACACACATCCGTCCCTGCATGCATCATCAAGGCTAGCGCTTGTATACATCTGCGAAGCTTCCTCCTCTAAAGTTTCAGGAGCTGCTGTCGCAACCGCAAGAGACCATTGGGGACTTCGATGGGCCTGTGGCCAAGGCAGGCGGAGTGCAGGCCAAGCGAAGAGCACAATCACAGTTTTCTGAAGCGACGATCTGATGACCCAGATGCCCCTTCGGTACAGCGCCCGTGGCTTCCGCCGCGACTGAAGCTTAGAGTTGCCAATGCCTGCGCAAGCGCAGAAAGAGACTTGGACTCTGGGATCGCCGCGATTTTTCTCCACGAGTGCTGTTGATGTCATTGAAGCCCTGCTGCCGGTACACAAATACATAATTCATAATTCCGGGCTTTCCCCCGCTCATGTCGAACGGGAAACATCTTGTTTTGATGACCCGGCTTGACCCCGATACACGTTCTTGGCATGGCGAATTCAAGAGACTGAGACTCAAGAAGAACGGCCGCGAGGTCTCAACCCAGCTCCGCGCGCAACGGATCGAATCAGATTTTTCTTTGCCACAGCAAAACCCATCAACCCGGTCAGGGTAGTACTTGTAGTGTCCTTTGAGGTCCTTGACAACAGGGGGCTGCAGCTCTGTTTTTGATGCTTCTGGCGATCAAAGCAGCCGGGTGGCCGGGTGGGGCGGCGGCCGTTCCCGATGGCCGAGCTCGGCGACTCGACTTGTGAGCTGGCTGCTTGTAGCTTGCAATCCACGCGACGTTAGACGTTTGCAGGGAGCTCGCGAGCAGCGCTGCAAACGTCCTTGTCGACTTCGTCATTCGGACTGCCTGCAGCATGATATTTCCGGGCTGTGCATAGAGACCGGGGGAGCAGAAACAATTTCCCCGCTCTTACAGAGAGAGATCCCTGTGTCTGGAGGACAGCCGGAGCGATGTCGCTGCCAGGGTGCTTGCTGTACCAGGACAGTTGTGCGCCACTGACGGCCCCAATTGGGCCGCTCTTGGCCGCTCTTGGCAGGTGCCACTCACGGGTCTTCCCCTGCAACTCAGCTCAAGAGCGATGAATCGCGTTGGGCTAGCTATGCAGTCTATGCAGGTAACGTCGGACTCTGCTGCCCCTGCTTACCGAGCAGCTGGCGCAGTGCCAAGGCGCAGATGGTGGGGAGGATCGCAGGACCGCCCTGCAGTGCTGGCCATTCATGAAGAGGACTGGCTCCACCTGGTCCTCATTTTGGGTGTCCTCTCCTCCACAGTCTTCGTCATCCTGCAGGCCGTGGCAGGGCCCACACCGGCTCCTGCAGCCCTCGAAGCTAGGGAACGGGCAGTAGACTCAGTAGGCAATACTTAACATGATGTAGCCCATAGTAGGACTACGCGGACAGACAGGTATTCTGTTGTGTTTTGCTGCCTGCGCCGCTCAGATCGTCGAGATCGCGCTGCAGGAGAGCACGACCGTCCTGCGTCCCCGAGAGTGGCGATTGAATACAGATGGCTCTCGTGGAGAGAGGGAGAGGGAGGGAGAGAGAGGGAGAGAGCACTTAACCTGAAGGAAGAAGAGTGAGAGAGCAGGAGCACTGCCACACGCCCTTCTGCTTGGGACAGTCGCCGGCTGAGAGAGCGGAGCAGCACGAGCAGAGCAGAGCAGAGTGGTGCAGCGCGACCGGAGCGCCGCAGTGTCGTGTTCTTTCTCTCACTCTCCAGCCCTCTCCCTCTCCCCCTCCGCGCTCTCAGCTGTCTTGCGGCCGGCTCGCAGCTTGAGGCTGATCTCGGCGATCCTGCTGCCTCGGCCCCAGCCTGCAGCATGTGGCTAAGACCATCCTCCACTTTTTGAGGCTCCCGAGCCTCTACGACTTCTTCAAGTTCATCGGAGCCTACGACGAGTCTCTACAGGAGCACAGCCGCTTAAAGCCTCCGCCTCCGCTCTAACCTGGCTGGGCAGCTCTCAGGAGCACAAGCAGCGTGCCGAGGACGAGGCCGCGGAGCCGCGGAGAGACTAAGGGAGACAGTCGCCCAGGCATGCCCAGGAGCCCAGGAGAAGGAGAGAAAGAGAGAGGAATGCTCGCCTCAGACCCAACCCGCCAATCCGCGTGCGGAAGGGATTAAGTGCCCTTCTTGTCTGTGGAAGAAGAGAAAGAGAAAGAGAGAGAGAGAGAGAGAGGAAACCGTAGCCATTTTGGCTCAAGAGACCGGTGAGGCTTCCGCCCCCTCTTCTCTTTCTCTCTCCTTTCTTCTTCTCGCCAAACCGGTCTCTCAACCCGGGCGCCTGCCTTAGTCCTGTTCCCTCGCTGCCGCGATTGCTGGAGGAGGAGATAGGCCAGGTTGCGCTGAACCAGCTGGGGGTTCGGGACGGGGAGTACGTCGAGAGTGCAGCAGACGGGCATCTTCAGTGACGAACCAAGGGGAGATTGTACACAACATCGGGAAGGCATACTTTGGGGGCAACTTGCAGTACACGACCCTGCACTCGACCTACGCTGGTTGACGGAGGACAGTTTTACACGATCTACACTAACCCGCTGGGGCGGAGACAAGAGACACCATGCCGACAGGCGGGGGGAGCAGCGGAAATCAAGCACAACAACAAGAGATGCATGTGGATCACACGGGTGGGCAGCAGCAGCGGAAACGACCAGCAGGGGAGGGCGAGCCGGCTGTGACCCTGAGCGCAATCCAGGAGACTTTCAGAAGCGAATTGGTAGCAGCAGTGGGGGGGGGATGCAAAGCGACATTCGAACACTGACGGGGCGTATGGACCAAGTGGAAGGACAAGTGACCACAAAGCTACAACAAACTATCAACCTGCTCGACGACATGACAAGCAAATACTACAAGCAGGAAAACATCTTGCAACAAATGCAAGAAGCCGACCGGGAGTTCGATGAACGACTGCGCCGATTGGAACAAAGGCGCGGGGAGCGACACCGACCCTTCGGGAGCTAGCACCACTGACACAGGGGGGGAGCGCAGGGCGGCACTCATCGTGGGGGGATGGGACCCTGAGAACCCAGCCGCGGACACCCTCCGCGAAGCAAAGCAGCTGTTGCAGAATCTCTCGGTGGACCTGGACATCGGAGAGATTTTCGTCCCCGGGGTTCGCAGAGGCTATGCGCTAATCCCAGTGCCAGACAGACCGGGGGAGCCCTCGGAGGACAAACGCAAACGGGTCCAAGCAGCCATCAGCAGAGTTCGCCAAGCAGCAGTGGAAGTGGGGACCAAGCCCATAGGAGCTCCGCAACTTGCATGGATCGCACTTTCACACAGCCCAGAGCGCAGGCGACGAGCCAAACTCGCAGGGAAGGTCAAAAGGCTCTGGTTAAGCCAGGGGGGAGCACAGGGGAGGCTGGAAGTTGAGTTCGGCACAGGGAGTACTTGGATCAACAACGTTAAAACAAGCTCATCCACCACAGCACGACCCTCCACAGCAGACGAAGCTGGAGCAGGGTGGGTGGACATTCCGGCCATCGCGCAGCAGTTGGGCCGCAACGAGGGGGAAGTCAGAAGGGCATGGGAGCCCTTGGCAGCTGAACTTCGCTGAGATGAAAGCACACAGTTTCACACTCCGGATCACCGTGAAGCGGTGAAAAAGACGGGGAACATTTGCAGCCTGGAATTCGACATTCTTTCCTGGAACGTCGGGGGACTGACACCCGAAAACGCTTTGGAAACCCTAGAAGGGTTTCAGGGGGACAGACAGCTCGAAAAGGTGGCCGTCGTGTTCCTACAGGAAGTCATCCTACGACCCGGAGCATTACATAGAGAGAGTGGTCATTGGAGCATCGTTGCGAGCAAACAAGCAACAGAGTGACGAGGTGTGGGGGTTGCACACAAAAAGCAACTGGGGGGGCACAAGAACTCACACGGCTTCTTGGCGGGAATGAGCGCCACGCTCCTCCTCAAAGGGGGAGCTAAACTACACTGCCTCGCTGGGCACATCCCACACCACGCCACAATCCCCGAAACACAACACATCCTCACCCAGTGGGGGGAACACGTGGGCCCAGCAAAACTCATCATCGGCATGGACGCGAACGAAGTCTTCGCACAACCACACTCACCGCATACTACCTCGACCCGATGAAACACCGGCAAAGGGGAGTGCATTCTGCAGTGGCTCAGCGACAACAACATCACCATCCTTTTACAGGACATCACCGCCCCCACCCACTTCCCCTACAACACCTTGCTCAGGCCCCGACGTCTCGACTACATCGCCAGCAGACTTAACACCACACAGCAGGGGGGTTGTTTGCTGCAAGCACAGAGCATCCACCGACCATGATGGTGTTAAACTCACACCACGACTTCATACAGGGGGGAAGACAAAGGGCGACACCATGACATGGGGGCCCCGCAGACTTAAAAGCCCAGAGGTGGTTGAAAAACACTTGCTACAGCCGGCTCCTAAGGCGCAAGACCCACACCACAGCATTGCGATGGCCGCCAAAGCTATCACCAGACCGGGGAGAACAACCACGAGGTACTCGGAAAGCACACAGCTTAAACAGCTCAGGCGTTGCGCGCAGCAAGCTACCCCGGGGGAAGAAGCCAAACAAGCATGGAAGCAAGTCAAGAAAGCCAAGGAATTAGAGCGGAAACAATGGCTCAAGCAGAAAGCTCAAGAAACATCACAACTCAGCTGGGGGGCCTTCCGGAGCCTGGAGGCCGTTCCTACCGGGGGAGGTCAACATGGCAGTGAGCCGATGGGCTAAAAACAAAATCTGCGGGCCGGATGGTATCTCCCATGAAGCAGTACAAGCCATGCTACAACACCCACAGTGGGAACACATCATCTTGTCCGAGCTCAACGACATGCTCTATAAGGGGGCAATCCATACTTCCGTTGGCAAAGGACTAACGGTCCTTCTACCTAAAATCTCAGAGCCGACACAGTGGGGGGACTGCAGGCCAATTACCTTGAGCTCCACCATGCTCAAACTCCTCGCACAACTGTTACTCGGCAGAGCAGGACATCAGCTACAACAGGGGGGGAGGTTGCAGTGGTCGCGAACGGGGAGACAGGGAGTAGAACTGCTTGCAATACTCCGAAGAGTCGTGCGCATGGCAAAAGATTGGGGGGTCAGCACTTGGATCGTGAAGCTCGACAGGTCAGCATGGCACAGTCATTGCAGGGGGACGACCAGGCAGCCAACAACGCAGGCCAGCCGTGGGAAGCGCGTCTATGGACATCCCTGCTCCAGGCACGGAGCCTTCACATCGCCACGAGGGACCACATCGCACATGTTGAGCAAACAAACGGGGTGCGACAAGGTTCCCCAGACTCACCAGTGGTCTTCACCGCACTGACAGCAGAAGCGCTCGAAGCAGCGGTCTCCAAAACAGCCCACATGTTGGGGGGACGCCCGTGGCCCACCACCCCCAGAGCAAGGAGGAGCGTACATGGACGACACGTACCTATGGTCGCACGACAGGAAGCACCTGCAAGCCACCTTAACAGAGCTTGAAGCACAGCTTGCTTTACACGGCCTTGCCATTAACCCGAAGAAGACGGCGGTCATCTACAGTGACGACGCAGACGGGGGGAAATTTACCATCGGGGGAGCCACCGTAACTTGCCTCCCCTACGGCAGCACAATCACGGTGCTGGGTTCCCCCCTGACCTTCGGGGAAGCCATCCCTAACCTGGTGGCGGAAATGCAGCGGAGGGGTCGAGCGGCCTTCCGTCAACATAAAGACATACTCTGTGCCCGCACCGACATCAGGGGGAGGCTAACAGCGTACAACGCATTAGTGCGCAACGCCGCACTATGGGGGGGGCGAGACATGGCCGGTACATGACACGCTCCTTAAGCAAGCCAACCACATGCAGATGGACCACCTCCGGCAAATGCTCCACATCAACAAAAAGCCAGAGGAATGCTGGGCGGACTGGAACAAACGAAGCCTCAGACAGGCCAGAGTGCAACTGCACAAGCAACGCGTGACCAGGTGGAGCAGCTTTACACTGGAACGCATCTGGACGTTTTGGGGGCATTTGGTTCGTGGGGGAGACGAGGTTCGAGCCATGGTCGCCTGGAAAGACCTTACATGGTGGCGGGAACAACAAAACATGGGGAGCAGGGGGGTCAAGCACAGGCACAGATTCAACAGCAACCTTGACGTGGAGAGAGCACTGAGCAAAACAGGCGGGGGAGGGTGGATGCAGAGAGCACAGGACAGAGAGCAGTGGAGACACCTCACCAAAACCTTTGTCGAACAACATGACGTCCCATGGACAACGGGACGACAACCCAAATTGGACAACCTCACACCAACAACCTCTACAGCTGGGAGGGGGATGGGAAGGATGCTCGCGGATGACAGCTTCAACTGAGATGGCGGACCTCCTCTTCTCTTCTCGAACCCCATTGAATTCATCCTTGACTATTTCATTCTTCTGCACTTTGTCATCTACCGTTCGGAGGGATTACTAGAGAGTACAGAGACGATGCTTTTCAGACACACTCCAGGGCGCGACATGCATGTTCAGAAGCAGTAGCTGTTGAAGCCTGCGACCGCTCACACAGCTGATATTGCTCACCTTAAAGCTGTGAAGCCATGCCTCCACAGAAGGGGGACCTCCGACGAACGCCGGGGGAGCCGAAGGCAACAACGCCGCTGCCGGGCTCGACAGCAGCGGCCCCTCGGGACAAGCCTCGAAGCTCAGCCGGAGGACAATCCGATGAGATGGCCCTCACGATGGGCGGGGAGCCAGACACTGCCGGGAGGAAGCAGACTCAGACGGAGGCGAGGACAGAGAGCGATGAGGGGGAATCCAGGTCAGAGTCGTCGTCACCCTCTTCCTCGAATCCTATTCGGGGAACAGGACCCCAGAGACGGGCAGTCCGGAAGCTTCTTCGCCATCTATGAAAAGCAGTGGGGGAGCGATGATATGATGTGGAACTGCACGAAAAAACAACTCTGCAGCAAGGGGAGTGCAGAACCTGCAGACAGGCTGCAGACCTTGGATCCCTCC